GCTCTCTGATATACGTAGTAGGTATACCAACATTCAAATTATTCGAAATAACAGATTCACGAAAATTACATGGTTTCGGTTGTGAGGACATTGTCAAACAAAGAAGCCATGTCTTTTGAAGGTATCAATGATTTAGATACATTTATCTGTCATATTGAATCTACGAATATAAACGAGTCATTTAGGGAATGTTTGATCATTATTTTTTCTTAGGTTATAAAGATTTTGTTAGCCATCACACTTTGGGGTGACAGTATGCCTTAGACTAAACTCATGGAGAAATCCTTCTTTTTGAATTTTAGTAAAGTATGCAGTTGAACCGGAAGGTAGGTCTATGGAATGACTTCTAAGCTCTGTTTCATTTTCAAACATGGGCTAATAACTGTCCTTACGAATCAAATTGTGAGCTGATACCACTGAAAACCTTGGATGAGTAACGGACAGCTGTTTCGTCCTAGTCTGGGAATCCTCAGTAGTATCTGAGCTCCTGACAACTTCATCATATATTCAACTACTAGCAAGCGTTAGTTTGATTTTCAAGATAGAATTCATGGTCACTGGGATACACCAAGGTCGGTGTGATGAAAAATTACCCCTGATGACATTGGTTGACTGTGGAAGTATGCATTGAGAATTGACAGAAGTTCAAAAATCTATGAGCCGGCCATCAAACTCCGTCCCAATGGGTTAATTGTCAGTGGGATCGCTTCGCAGCATGAAGGTGCTGGGTTCGGTCGCTAGAGGTGAGATCGTAGATGGGTATCGTTGAAGTGTCTCAAATTGGAATGAAACAGTCCTTCTCTAAGTGAGGTTTATCTGTGATCAAGCTCCAAACTGGCCAAATCCCTGTGAACCAACACATGGAATCACTGTTTATCACTTCTTGATAGATTATTCTTGAGAAATTTATTTTTTAAAACTGACTTTAATTATTTCTTTCGCCATCTTAACGAATCAAAATAAGAACGTATGATTTCATACCCATCACAAAATTAAAACATTTTCCACTTTACAATATCTCCAGTTCGCATGAAATATTTTAAAAGGCCTGAAAATGTTTTTAAAGGTACGATGCGTCGGTGGCACAGCGGTTAGGACTCTCGCCGACCATGCACATGGTCCGGGTTCGATCCACTGCCGACGCACACCTGATATCTATGGTCGGCCTGCAAACTTTGGGCTACCCATATCACATGCTGAAAATTCCATAGTTGTACCAAAAATACGGTTTGGAATCAAGCTGTAATAAAAAAAAATCATGAGGTCGGTGTCAATTAGAGGACAACTGGAAGCCAGAATACACAAGGACCTGGGCATCCGTTTTTCTACCTAGTTTTCGATTTTTCACCAGTGCCTATCCATGACTTCACTGCCAAGAATCAAATCCAGGAGCTTCAATTTAGCCGGCGAACCCCTTTGACTGTTTACTCTATATGAGATGGAATTCAATGACTAGTCCAATAAATAATAATAACTTCTGTCAATTTGCGAAATTTCTCAACTAACTTTCACAAATGAAACGACTACAGACTTCATGCTTACTGGTGTCAAACTAGAACATTATGATTACACAATGAAATAATTTTAATTGTAATCTGTTGTATTGACAAAGTACGCCGAATTATTTCCTCAATAGGCTTATTTTGTGAGAAATGAATAACTCATCTGATTGTTTACAAAATAATTTTTTTCATTACCCTTAAGTCTGTGTGGAGGTCAACATTACTCAGCATCAAAAATAAGATCCGGATTTTCAACTCCAATGTGAAGTCACTGCTACTTTACGGATCAGAGACTTGGCCAGCGCGTCATAAAGAGCATCTCAAACAAACTTCAGACCTTCATTAACAGTTGTCTTCGCTCAATACTCAAGATCAGATGGCCGGCCAGAAAAGATCAGCAATGGGTATCTCTGGGAGCGAACCAACCAGGAACCAATTCCGTAACAAATAGGCAGGAAGAAATGGAGTTGGATTGGCCATACACTGAGGAAATCATCAAGTGAGTGACATCACTAGACAGGCAGTCGCTCGAGTGGAACCCGAAACGGGAGCGTCGAGTTGGTCGTCAGTGCAAAGGTGACTTGGAGGAGGTCATATGAGGAGGAAATGGAAGCATGTGGGCAGACTTGGAGCGGAGTGAAAAAGTTGGCAGAAAACCGAAGGCAATGGAGGTGTGCAGCTGAAGCCCTATGTTCCTCTAGGAATTAAAGGATATAATAATAATAAATAATTTTCTCATCCTGAGTAAATCTATCTGAGTACAATATATATATATATATATATATATATATATATATATATATATATATATATATGATGTCATGCATAATTCACTTACACAAGAGATCGCTCGTGAGTTAATTTCGCGTCATCACTAAGTAATACAGCTGAGAATTTCCACTGTCTATGGGTCTAAACCAGGTGCTGTTATGCGTAACCATCATGAAGTGAAATCGGTAAGAGAACCATTCGAAAAACTGTAAGCAGTACTGTACAGCTGTTTCGTCCCAGTCTGAAACTCTTCATCAGTACGCACCCCCCCCAGTCAGGGTTTAAACCCAGGATATTTTAGTGACAGGGCCACCGAATTCCTAGACCATTAAGCCACTGGGACCTGATCCAATCAATGGTTAGCTCATAAAAATTTTAACTTCTACCAATTCACACACGACATAGCCCGACCACTTGGCAATGTCTTCTTCGATGGGTAACTGCCCTGACCTTCGATCTGTTGTTTATTCTAATTAAACATATAGATATAGTCTGAATAACCACATGTTCTCACACTTTAGAAAATAAAAAAAATTAGTACATAGTTTTAACCCTTTCAAACGATAAGAATAGGAAAACTCCCTTCAATTTAAGAAGTAAAAGTAATTGGTTAGGAATTCGAAAGTAAATTATATACACAAATCTCCCTGTATTTATTATATACGCATGTATTATATATATATATATATATACATATAGATATATAGATATATATGTATATATAGTGTGTTATAGAGAAAAAAGAACCATTCTTATAGTGTAAAAAATGATAATAATTTAATCATAATCATCCTATTGGTTAGTTACAGGTTGTTTCACGCCACGCCACTCCACTCCACCTAACCCCACTCCACCCCACCCTGCCTACCAGTGACTATCTACTCTATCTATCTCCTAACTGATATACCAAAAATGCTAATAAAAAGGCATCTTATTCAAGGTTAACCTGAAGTGGAATAATAAATTTCAATATCTCTCGGATTAATCCATAGATAATTTAGGCAAGATTAAAGTTATAGATTGATTCGATAATCTCAGAATCGGAATATAATGATGATAATAATAATAATAATAATATGTATAATATTATAAATGTTTCGGTCGTCAAATAGTAGTATAAGGTATGAAATAAGTGATTATTCTATTGGGTTCCCAAAGGGAACATACAGGGATTTCGATCTTGTTCACTGGAATCCTCTCTAACCCACTCATCTCATGATTTTCCATAAGTGTTGAGCTCCTCCTCTCCACACGATGTCCTTCACGTCGCCTGGTTTAGAAACTTCAAAATACAGAAAATTCGAGTCGTATATATATTCATATAAATATGTACCAAAAGTAGGATTTAAGCAGAAGAAAACTGGGAATGATCAAGGATAAGGAATTGTTACGTCATTCAGATCGTAAGAGTAAATGGGCATCTCCTGACAGGTACTTTGAACATAGTTTATATTGAAACAAAAAAATTGGTTGAGGGAGGGTGGAGGGGGAGGAGACCGTTTCATTCATGGTTGATTGGCATTCATATCCACTCGTATTATGTCTATTTATTATAATAGTAGTGATATTTATGGCCTTGTTTCAAAGCTGTTTTTTTCCTCTTTTTGATGTCATGTATGTATATATTTTTCCATTTAAATTTTCCCCATAATATATATATATATATATATATATATATATATATATATATAACTGAATTCGAGTTTACATTGTGACAAAATTGACAAGGAAAGTAGTTTCTAAATAAATTTATATTATGTACTTGTTAGATTTTGTCGGGATTAATAATACGAATAAGAATAAAATAGTATTCATTTAAATCCTGTCTTGTAAAGGTAGACTACTCGTGCTACAATCATGCGAGATGTCTTCAAGAATATGAATAAATGAATCCATGTGATCAGCGTGAGAGTAGAGAAAGTTGAGATAAGATTTTGACACCTTGGTAGACTATAATTCCATAACTATCATCCTCATCCTTATATGTATAGTCATATTCTCCATAAATCTGGGTATTTTAAATGATTCATTCTTATTAGAGTGTGTAAAGTATAAATTCGATGAACAAAGAATCAATAATCAATCAATCAATCTCTCTCCTTATACTTTATGATGGAAATTAAGGCCATAAACTATCCCGTCTGATTTATTACTATAAAAATGGATTATTGATAAGTGGAAATTGTGATTGTTCATTGTTATTCAGGGTAAACTTTGTATTTATTCAATTTGTTAGTTGAAGTCGTATACTGTGCCATCGAAAGTTTTCAGCTTCTGTTGGTAATTAGCAGTGAGTGATAAGCCAATGAATAACATTAGCTTTTATTAAACTGAAACTGAACTGTTGTCATCAACTATTACATCGGATACACGCTTAAGTTTCGCATACTACTACTACTACTACTTAATAATAATAATAATAATAATGCTGTTTAATTGATCCTAGATAACAGTGGGATCGTATTCCAGTGAGTGATAACGCTTCCACTGAGAATCCCAGTATATATATATATCCAGCACACAAGTCCCAAATAGGATGAGGCCCTTATCAATCAATCAATCAATCGATCAATCAAATAACACCATGTTCACCCAGAAGGCGAGGTGTCAAAGTACTCGTTTGGGAGACAAAATGAGCTAACTGAGACTGAGTTGAATGAATAATGAAAGTCTCTTGTTGATTTAGATGTGTTTTTTTGTCGTTTTTTTCTTTCTCTCTAAATCTAGATTAGCTGACAAAAGTTATCACCAATGTGGGGTATTTTATTCTATGGTAAAATGTCAGCTTAAAAATCATCATCGTTGGAGTGAAATTTCTCACGATTATCAGGTAAGTATTTTTTTTTAAAAAAAGGGATTGACTATCATCACCTGATAAGAAATTGTACCTGACAGATTCTACAGTAAAAGGGTGATCATTTTATCAATATGGCTAGCTAATCATTAAAATATATTTATATTATCGATAGTTGATCCTCATGGGGTTGAATATTCCCTCTCTCTCACTCTCACTTCGCTGAAAAATAGATAGACTCTTCAAGTATTTCTAAGTATTTCACATACATAGAGATATTCATTTCTTTTTTCTCGTCTCCAAGTAGAATTTTCCCATGTATGTGGACTGTTCTCCATACACACTGACACAATACTGTGAATGCAATGTGATGGCTCATCAAAAAAGACAGAGAAACTTCCTTCCATGTCGAATGTTATAGAGTCAACTGTGGAGATGTGTTCTTTCTCTAACACCTAGTACACATTTCTACGAATGGTATTATATTATATTATACTATACTATATTATTCAACTCAAGTCTTTATAGTGAAATATGTGTCTTTTCAATACACAGTCATTACATTCCATTATGTTGGACAGAGAAGACATTTGTTTGATTCCACGACCTAGGAACTAACTGACTGACTGCCCTGTTAAAAGTAGCACCGAACTAAACTGATGTGCTTTGTTTTGGTATCATGATAATGATGCAATCACAAGACATTTATATCATTTATGATGTTATGTAACTGACTAGTGATAGGTATCACAAGAATCTGTTTGGGAGACAGACAAATTCTCCCCTTATATTTCGTTTCAGGTAAGGTGGATATAATAATATCAAAATGATAAATTGTCAAAAACTTTGAGGCATTTTCAAAATGGGTGTTCATATTTCTTTTCATGGCACCATCGTTGTCAAAGCATATAAAAAGTGCTTAGCTTAATAATTTTTAAAATAATTAAGTGAATTACTGGAAAAGTGAAATTTCATTTTTGTTGTTGTTGTTGTTGTATTTCTCATAGGTCAGTTTTCCCTTCCAGCAGAAGACATGTTATATATTACTGAAATCATTCAGTAATACAATACCTTGTAAGTTTGTCATATTGTTTTAATATGAAAATTTGGTTGTTTCTTTCCCTTTTTGTTTTAACTCACTGTGTGATGTTATTTTTGGTGTCTCTTTCAACAGAAAGTATGAAATTGCCGCTTTTTTGTAAATTGTTTGTCAACTTAGGTTTAATTAGACATCAACAGTTCATCCCTCCACTGGGGCTTAAAATTAGTAGACATGAGAATTGTTCACCTAGCCTATTATGATTTCAAACAGGACTCCTTGTTGGTTGTCGATTCCTTGATCGTTGAGTTTCCAACAAACAATGGATTACTCATCCATATAGAAGTACAGAATAGGCCATGTAATGAGAGATACTCTTTGTTTGACTGATAATTGACTTACTAGGCTTTCATATACATTTGGAAGTATCACTACAGACAGTGGGGTTTCGCTAATCAAATTCTACATGGGTTAAATTTTCACTTAAGACAATTGTTTGGTATAAAAAGATTAATTTTCAGGTAGACTAGAAATAAGTGTGAGCAATTCTATTTTTTAAATAGATCTCAGTTTTGGAGAGATCAATGTGTCTGTCTCTGTGTGGATCTACGTCTTACTGACCGAGATATTTTAAAACCAAATGAAACCTTTTTTTCTACACAAATTACGCGGCTGATTAATTCGCCTAACTGACTGTATTCAATGGCACAGCGGTTAGGATGAAAGGCAACCGTGTACATGGTCTGTGGTTCGATCTCCGGCCACCGACACACTCCTTTACCTTGATAAGCCAAAAATAAGACTGGTAAAGAGGGAAGGCTGGGTATGAGGCTGACTGGCAACCCCAACCCCGTAAAAGTAATCACCACTGCTACAGAAACTTCAAGCCCCTAGCTTGAAACCTTGTTATTTTCCACTGGGAACGTGAAGAATTCTTTGTAGAAATTCGACTGCTTGCTTCTCTCATTGATTTGTATATGTTGCTGCATATCTTTGTATATCTTTCATAATAAACCCATTAATCACTATGAATGTATATATATATATACATGTAGACTCTTACTAATTGAATATTTCTATATTATAGAAGTACAAAAAATCAGCTTGATTTTACCATTGTGTTCAACTGTTCCCCTGTAAAAAGAAACTATGTAATTCGATTTATCTTACTGTGAAGCGATTCGGTGAGCAATAAAACAGTATATTACGCATCTCTATATCTATCTATCTACATACACTTTGTTTAGCTGTACCTGTGTGATACCAAAAAAATGCAAAGAGTAATCTAACAAACACAATTTGGGAATATAATTTTCTCTTTTTATTTACAGTTAGAAGAGAATTTATATGTTCTAGTAGAATTAACAGAACACAACAATAAATTGGCTATCATAAGCAGTAATTGGATAACTGGAGATCAAGCTGTCTTTTCCCACCCCATAGATGAATATTCTTTTCTAGAGCACAGTGAACCTCAAGAAGGATCATCATTTCAGCATATTAAGATAATCAAAACATTTAGTAAGAATGACTATTGTTCATTTGTGCATTTTTGTGCATTTATTTTTCCATTAGACTCTTATGCTTATGCAAAAGCCGAAATGGAATATTACAAATCTACAAAAGCATCATCTGAAGAGGAGTTGAAAGATAAATCTGATAAGACGGTTAAAACAATACGGAAACAATTCTTTAAGTAAGTTTCCTGTGTTAACCTGACTTTTTTCTAAAAAAAAACAAACATTAGATCTAAACCTCCTGATGTTGATTACTATCCGTCAACTTCATCATCTTCTTCTATAAGATGTGAGGAAATCTCCACTTCAACCTCACAGTCAGTTGATCAGCCTTCGTTGGAAAGATTAGAAAGTACTTCCACGACTTATGAAGATCCATGTGAAGGTGATTCATTGTTATATTAATCAGTTATTATGATTTTTATGATTTTCTGGTCACATGTATTTTAACTATTTACTTAGACAGCGATTTGTTGAATTATTCCTTTAACCTTCCCCCTTTTTTTGTTTTTCAGTGCCTTTTCAATGAAAAGATTTGACTACAAGAATTCGTTAAAGCATACGTGAACAGTATACACTTTATAAAGCTATTCAAAACTAGAATTATAATATTACTATTATTACTAATACATATACATACACTGATTATGCAGGCATTCTGTCTCTTCTTACAGATGCCGTTTTAGCATTTTTACCTGATACGAAATTTCATGTACAAATTTTAGGCAAAATGTTTTAAAAAAATAATAAATAAATAAACACTTCATCTTATCAAATCCTTGTTATATATATCTTCTCAATGAAGTCATCTGTTAGGATTAAGTTCTGTTTCTGATTACCTTTCCCTTCAACGACAGCCTTTAAAATAGATCAAATTGATGGATTAAGACGTTTCTTTTTTTTGTGTGGTGCAGAGGTAATCAGCAGGATAATCAATACATAGCTGATCTTTGGTTGTTATTGATTTTTATTTTGAAATTTAATCGATCTGTCGTGTAGCTTTCAGTAGCTTTAAGCTACTAATAAGCGTTGTATAATCCACTGGTAATAGCTCCTGACGATCGGATTTACGATATTCAGCGGATAGTAACCTGCTATTCTAGTTGGCATTTTTATGCTGTTTGTCTGTGAGTATTTAACTGATGATATGGAGGTTACTTAAAGATCCTGTAGCTGATTAGTCACTAATTAGATGACTGTTCCAATATTATAGGGACTTTACTAAAGTGATGTTAAGTTACTGCTTTTTAAGTTTATGTAAGTCATTTGCAGGTACGCATATCGCAGGAAGAAATGGAGATAGATTGGCCATACGCTGAGGAAACCATCAAGCGACATCACTAGACAGGCAATCGCTCGAGTGGAACCCGAAAGGGAAGCGGCGAGTTGGCCGTCAGTGTAAAGGTGACTTGGAGGAGGTCATGTGAAGAGGAGATGAAAGCGTGTGGGCAGACTTGGGGCAGGGTGAAAAAGTTGGCAGAAAACCGAAGGCAATGGAGGTGTGCAGGTGAAGCCCTATGTTCCATTAGGAATTAAAGGATATAATAATCATAATAGTATCGCGTAAAATTGTACATTGATAAACTGTGTACTTCGTAGTGTTAATTGTTTCAACTTATAACGTATGTGACGGCGAGATTTCAAATTCAGGTGTGTTATTAAGCTCAGTAGCAGGTAGATTTTCCCGACGAACTAACTGAGATACGCCAAGTTAAGTAGACATGTTTTGAGGTAATGCTTAATACATAGATATATATTTAGAGAGACAGAGAAACTCGAGTGACTTAAGGATTTGAAATTGGTGGCAAAACTGAGAAAGTGTAATTTGAGTGGTGTAAAGTTATAATTCTGAGTCGCCTTATCCACTCTAATAATGTTAAGGTATTAAGTTTGACGAAAGAATTGGTCAGTGTGCTTTATCATTTCCAAAATGAATTTGTCAACGGTTTGTTTTAGTTTCAAAGTAGGTCGATATCTGCATATACCAGCACTACAAGCTAAAGAGTCTCCGATAATTTGTCCCAGTGTTTAGAGGTCTAAGCTGAGAATAAACATCTGCACAGTCTTCTGCCGTCTTCAGTGTCGCTTCATAATTGAAACTTGATGTAGGTGAATCATACCACATAATCATAGATACACTGATATGTCTTATTCAAGAGTTTCGAAATAAAGTGCCTTGTTGTCAAGATGAATGGGTCTTAGAACAAACGTAATGCCTAAATGAATTAATAATCGCCAGCCATGGTTTAATGCTGATATGAAGTTTTCAGCTAGAGAAACATTCGTATACTGTTCATTAATCTTGCACCTTACCATTTATTCGAGTTTAATCAAGCTATTTGTTTCAGCTGGCCAACTTCAAACGACTAAACTATCGATCTGATGTTCAAATTACTGTAATTTATTTAGAGGATGCATCTATCGGCTGTTACCATGATTTTCGGGAATATATATTATTCATTATTTACACCAATGTATCATAAATGATGAACTTCGGTTGTTAGTCAGAGACTTTCAATTAATATTATTTATTATATTATAGTTTTTCAATGATTGGAATGCCTAATATTGTTTGTCCTTAAATTTAGAGGTAGTAATGATCTGTACTGGTAGGTAAGTTCATTTCGACTCCACAGTTGTACACAACATTCACACGATTTGCATCGTTTCACATTGTTCAACCTACGATATGCATCAGGAATAACAGAAGACACAAATTCACGCCACTAGGCTATGGACAACACTCAGCTTGTCTTCCTTTATTACAGATGATGATTATCAGAACTTTAGAGACAGTAGGCTAGCCAAAACCTTTGCATAAAATGCTTCAGTGTAAGAATAGTCTGTAAAAGATTTGTGTCAGTGATACTCCTTCGTTAATTATTAGACATCTAGTTATTATTCACCATTCAGGTGCTTATCAGAACTTCTCTCTTCCTCTCTCTGTGGTTGCATCAAATCATACTTCTAGCTCACCGTCAGTTGTAGATACTATGAAGTCAAGCATTCAGCATAAAATAAGCTGATGCAACTTGCAGGAGTCTCGTTTTTTCCGATAATCTGAATCTCATTTTTTTCACCGTCAAAGTTCTTTCTGTTTGTTTCTTACAGGAACATTTCATAGCTGGGCTTTCTCAGCTATATATATTACATCTATTTGACTGTTGTATAGTTACAAGTACCATTTTTAGTACTTGGGAGTTTACATCGTCTTAAAAGTATCAGGTGAATAGAAATTCTGTCTCGTCCAGATATCTGATATTCGGTGATATGTGGCTGTTGAGTAATTCTCAGAAAAAAGAAAAATCTCTTCTGATAAATTCCACTGATGCTACTTTGATTATGAAATCACTCTATGGAAAGCAATAAGATCTGCATCAGTAAGTTGACGCGTTTTGCAAACATCATATTATCCCTTAAATTAAATTGTCTACAGATATGATTGCCTACACAGGACTGTTTGACTTCTACTCTTACAAGACATGAAGATTCCAACCTACTACAGAAACCGGTACTAAAGTACTAAGCACCAAAGAATACAATGATTCACAAGGGAAGTATTAACGCGGCATTCACGTGGTTTCTTTGACTGAATTTCAGTGTGAAAAGCTCAAGAATTTCCTGTCTAGGATGCGTTATGCGAGGAAAATTATTCACCGGTAAGTTCCAGTGAAACTGTAGTTCGTCATCATGCAAAGACTTATTTAATCTAACATTGCCAGAGATTTGTAGAGTATTCACTGAATAAAGGGGTTAATGAACGGAAATTACAATCAATAGATATACTATACGGTCATTTCAATCCATCAACAATATCTTGTAATTAACTAACTACTTATTATTGTATAATTCAGTAATATATATAGGGACAGAAGGGTTCCTGTCTAAAGGATATCCAGGAATTAAGAAACAGGTAGTTCGGCTTCTAGGACCGAAACCAGTTAAAATCCAGTTGTACGAACCAAGACAGATTTCATCCGTTAATTCCGTTGCCCCCCACTCACCTGCTTAACAAGCCTCTATGAATATTACTTTGCACCTAAGGAGGTGGTCACACGTGTTAACGACCATATTTCACTTGTCTAACTGTGAATGAAACTGATAAAGTTTGTACAATAAGCACTACAGTTTTCTATGTTAACAGATTTGGAGATGATTAAACCATGATATTGATTAATATGCTCCTAGAATGTCAAGGCAAAAATCTCACCGTGAAATTTATGACACTATCCCTTACAATAAATTACAAGATTTTCTAGATTGTTTGATAATTTGATGATGCAGTACTAGTTACTTAATACCATTTCAGTGGCAATTTATTACTCCTACTTTGATGTGATTGTTAGTAGTAAGTCATTCTCAATACCATCACACAGTATCACTGTGAGCGTTATCGAATAAAGGTATATTTGTATGGAATTATTATCAACCATAGTACCGTAGCTGTACATAAAACTAAGTTAACCAATATGAACAGGATAGGTGTTTAAAAGTTCGAAGCAGCAGAAGCCCAGAAGACGCCCACTGTGAATTCTCTTTAAGATGGGTTATCAGGAAGTAATAAGATAGCAAAGAACAGTCAAACAAAATACAGACTGGATCAACTAACGACGGTCAGTAACATGCTCGCTTCATAGATTGTTTCTAACGTTAGCTTTAGAGGGTCTATTGGTTCGAGTTTGTCAAGTTTTAGTTGAAACATGCCGTTTTAATCTAAGATAAAGTAATTAAAATACAATCAAAATGCTTTTTGTTGCATAATTGAATTACGTTAGGTCAATATGGAACCAGCGAAGACAAAATGGTAAGTGCAGATTATTCAAAATACTTCAAAACGTCTAAAGATCGTGAGACAGATGAATAAATTAAGGTCAGCTAAGTAGTCGATGGCATATTAGTAACCTAAGCTAGCCAATTGTCTGTGAATAAATTCTTTGAAATAACAACAAAGGTCGGGATACACTCCTATGCAAACATTTGAAAGCCGACTAATCAGATTAGACTACTAGGAATTACAACCTGACAGATGGTAAAAAAAATAAGATGAGCCTACAAGTCACTGGAAATGTCCACGCATTATACTAAAGTTAAACCGCTTCACAGTTAGGATCATGATTGGACATTGTTGAGGGTTCCTTAGTCGGGGTGTAACACTGAACTATTGTTCCTTGCGCTTTCAGTATAGGCTTTGGTATAGTGTTGATTGTTGACTACGCTATGCACTTACTTTCCAAATGGAATAAAACATTTCAAATTTTTTTTTAGCTTCATAAGCAATGGTGTTGTTTTCACAGAATCGATATGCTAGCCGCAAACTCATCCTTCCCTAATTTCCACGCTTAATACTGCCTAGTAAACTAGAGGGGGTTGAGGAGTTCATCGGCAGGGAAGTCAACCCGGAAGTTGTAACGTTTCAGATTTAACTCATAGTAATCGAAAGAGAACCAATAAACTCACTCTATACTATCTTTTCTGTAGTCATGATATGGCTGACTATTAAATCTCCAGGATATAATCACGCTTCAGTAT